GAGGAGAACTCGCAGAAGATCGCTTCATCACCGTGATTTTTCCGAAGTTCGTTAAATTCATTAATCATCGCGTCGAGGACGAGAGGAAAAGTTCACAGTCCGCGGAACGAATCCGCGAATGACGCGCGTCGCTCCGCGTCTGACTACAAGGAAAATCCGCGCGTGACGAAGTATGCCGTTTAATTACGCATCGACGTCCCCGCCCAAGCGATCGAAGCTACTTTAGCTACGACTAAGTGCAAAAGGGACGAAGAGAGAGAGAGAGAGGCAGATAGGAAGGATTCTACCGCGCGTTGCGTATCGCGCGCAGAGCCGGAGAGTTGAATGCGCGCATAAGCGCGAGATCGTCCCTCTCGTCTCGATCGCCTCGAAACCCGAAGCCGTCGAAAACTCGTTCGAAAGCTGACGCATCACATGAATACGAGACACGGTCCGCAGGCGATCGTGATGCAAGAATCGGGGAGGCATTGAACTGTCTCCCACGAGTTTTAAAACGCGACGAAATTTCATATATATCGCGATGAAAAATTTCGCAGCGCCTGGGGTTTCAGATCAAAATTCCGCTAAATATTCTGCGGATTATTCCGTGATCGATGTACGTATGATTGCCCGCAAAGCGCGAATCCATCTCGCTACAGTATTACTGAGATCTTGTTAAAACAACTGCGTGATTCCTCGTCACGTGATCGAGATATCGAAGCTCCATGCCAGACAGCGCGCTGACAGCTGTTCGCAAATACCGCAGACGTTTTAAGCTCTCTTAATTGAGTGGGATATAAAGCGCGCCGGGAACAGCACAGTTTCCTCGATGACTCTTCAGAAGTAGTGAAAGTTACATCTGACAGCAAATTTGCATACAATTATAGTAGTGCCATTGCACCTCGTCTTGAATACTTCGACGGATGTTGTTTAATAATGTGTGATAGTATATTAAAATTTTTCCTTCGCAAAATTTTAAAGAGAGCGTCATTGATGTTCTTCAAAAGCGCACTAATTGTGTCTTATTCACTCTAAAGCCAGTATTTCAAGAAACCAAGTATATTCATACGCGCTTGAAATTAGACGTAACCGGTAATGATCGCAGTAAGCGCATTACCACGATTGGTAGCAAGTTTAATGCTTGGATTGAACGTGAAAATTAAAAGTCAAGGCAAAACCTCTCCAATTTACGAGACATTTCGCTAAATATGTGCAATTTTGCGGTTTAACCTATTCAACCACTTGTTGATATTTCTCTTAAATAAACGAAGTTTATATCCGGTTAATGAACGATCATTATACTATCAAGGAATAATCAAAAGAGATTACTGTCGACGAAGTAATTTGACAAATGTATACACGGACGTTACTGGCAGTCGTAATTGGCCAAAGTTTTACGGCGAAAGCGAGTCCCCGGCGCATTCCTCCCTCATCAAACGATCATTACCCGATGATATTCGCATCGGTCGTCGAGCATAACGATAAAAACATGCAGAGATATACCAATCGAATTGAAATTTAATCGTATACGAGGCTCTCATATCTCTCATTATCAAATAGCAATAGCAAACTGGCACAAGCTCGATTTCCGGGTCGCGTCGCGATGATGATGCGATTTTATTAAAGAACCAGGATTAATTGGTTAATATCCTTGGGGACTTTCGATTATCGAACTCGCGAACCGCACGAGATTTAACGGTGAAAGGAGGCTCTATGCGCGCGCTTGGTACGTACTCCCTTGGTCTCTGTCGGCGACTATCTCGTCGGATCTGCGCGAATTCCGGCGAGCGAAATAGCGGCGATATCAGCGAACACCGATGTCCACCATGTCGGTCTTGGAGACCGGTGAGACTGATCGGACCATGTCACCGCTGGACGAAGTCGTATCCCCGACAAGCATAAAATCGGAACTGATGATCACCGACATGCTGGACGAGCACGAGGCCGCGCTCGACGCGCATCGTAAGCGAAAGAGAGACACGGATGGCGAGGAGCTGACGCCAAGGAAGCTGCCGTCACTCACGAGGAACAACAATGAGGTCGGATTCGTCCTCGAGGAGAATCCTGACGATGACGATAGAGACGACGTGAGTCTATAGTATATTCTCGTCTCGGCAATGTTGAGAATTTATACATTGTACAAAATTTTGAATTACGTAATACCCGGTAACAGATGTCATCGTAATCGAGAAAATAATGATATTCTCGCTGGTATTTTTGTGCTCAATGCGCACAGAAGAAGAATTTCTAAAAATATTCAAAGCATCAAATAATACACAAATTATTTTTAATGTAACAAATACATTATATCCGTAACATCGAATTTATCGAAAATATATCAAGCTCAAATATGTCTCGCAGATAAAATTACATAATATACTACATTTATTCAATCGCTATAAACAATAATGCCTTGCATTACACAAACGTGCGTTCACCAATATTTTTAGTAACAATTTTTTTTTTTTTTTTTTTTATTTTTTGAATCAAAATGTGCGCGGAAATATAAGAATATGCTTTTCTTTTTTCAAATATACTTTATTGTCACATTGTGGCAAACACGTCTGAAACCATGTTGCGCAGGGACAAAATCCTCACGTGGCAAGAGAGAGAGAAAAGAAAAGAGAGAGAGAGAGAGAAAGAGAGAACAGCTGTCGCTGACATGCCCGCCTACGCACGGTTATACCTGTTTTGAAGTCTGTGAACGTATTCTATTCTGACACTCGGCAACAAATCAGATGCTCAGATTCATGGCTGTAATAAAACGCAGCCATTAATACGTATTCTTTCGCGCTTTAAGAAATCTGTATCGTCAGTTGTTCTTCTTGCATGATTATTATTTTTATTGTGGTCTTGACACGTGATTCAAAACGCGATGCATTTCTACTGTTTGTCTGCGCTTTTCTCTCAGCTCGGTAAATCTAATGATTTTATTGTCTATATGCATGTTCTACAAGCTATCAAAAAAAAAACACATTTCTAAAAATAAAAAATACAGCTATTTGTTGTCAATCAATAACGATTTAAAAAAGAATACAAAATTAATAAAAAAAATATAAAAAGAATACAAAATGAATTATTTCAAAAAAACACGCAAGTGACAATAGAATTTCTGACCTAGTTTTTTTACTTGAGAATTTCTATCGAGAAGCCATCACGTCGAATCGTTTGATAAGATTTTCGCGCAGTAAAATTGCTGCTATAAGTGCCATTCGTCAATTTCTTTGCGTTAAATGATCGTCGCGTGTTGCTTGCCTTTCGTGCATCTTCGTTTCTCGATCTTAGGATCCGTGCCGACAAAAATACCAACCAGAAAACGAGGCCGAGCGGATTAGCTTGTAGACAGCATCTTCGTAAGATATAAGCCGATAAGGTCGCGATAGGTGCGAAACGGGTTTCAAGAAAAATCCCGACGCGATTCTGAGATGTGACGGTGCCGGCATCTCAACGTTCTATGTAGCACGTGGTAGCTACGCCGATGATTCCGCCACAAGCATAGAACAGCATCGGAAAGATTCCATTAACCGCATTTCCAGTCGGCGAGCGCGAGCGCAAAAATTAACCCTTGCTACCGACTCGGGCTCGTGTCGTTAATTATATCCTTGGAATCGGCGCTCTCGCGTTATCTAACGATACCATGAGTTACCTTAGGAAGCTTCACGCTTCTCGTGCACGAGATGAGGGAAGATTAGCGCAACATTTGTCGGTGAACGTTTTGTTTAAGAAATAGTTTCTTTTTTTCATAGAATTTAGTATCTTCCCTTTCTGTTTAATTTTATAATCACTATACATTTTTTGCGGGCGGAAATTGATTTATTTCATCGAAAAAATAAGGAAAATTAATTATAAATTAAAGAAATACACACATGTGTTTAATGTTGAACCAAACGAGAGGTAATTACAAGAATAATAAAAATTGAAATATAATAAAAAATAAATATTTTTATTTAAAAAAATCTTTTTAACGAAAAATTAATTGAATTAAAATGCTCGCACAGATCCCATAGGAAAGAGAAAGGTAGAAGTCGCATCATGGAAATATTACTATTTTGTAAGCTTTTCCTATTTATTGCTACACGAAGAGGCAATAATATAAATACGTATCAACAAATTATCAACAATAAATATCTTTGTACATATAAAAAACATGTGCTGTAAGTTCTTAAATATCAACTTTGCTTAACTTTGATAATCAACTTCTATCGCGCAATCTTAATGCCAACGTGCGCAATGATATAACCATAATGATAAATTATAGTTAGTAATATAATTTGACAGCAAAAGATTAATAACTTATAGTGAGATAAAATTTAGATTCGTACGATTAACTTCTACCTCGCAGTGTTCTTTTTAATTATTTTTACATATATAATATATTTTTACAGTTATTAAATATTTATTTCTCTCGAAACAAAAAATGTTAAGGTTCAAACCATCGATAAGAGATTTATGCGTAAACGTACGGAGAAAGCTGTGTCGCGTCTAATGTCGCGAATGCGTATCGGCAAATACGTCAATCTTCGTTATCGTGGCTTTAAGACGTGCGAATAATCATTTCAATTTCGCGTTGATTGACAGCGCAGAATGGAGGAAGTGAAAGCACCGAAAATAGTGCGCTAAAATCGGCGCGTTGAACTTCGAGTCCGTGGATAATGTCGTCCTGTTTAAGAGGCCAGTAAACACCGCGATTGATCGCCGAAAGATTCCTCAGTATGACAGTTTTAATGGTCTACAAGTAATCGTCTTCGCTTCAGCGATTTAAAGGTGAAGCTGGTGCGCCTTTCACGTGTTACCATAAGACGCGCGTACACGAAGAGTTTATACGAGGGAAAGATTTTTTTCTTATGTGCCGATCCTCATGAGAGCATGATGGGTCGAACTTTGCAACTTCGCACGAGATGCCACTTTAATTCGCGAGAAACAAGGAACTCTTATAACACATACGTCGGTTGCGCAATAAAATTTCAATAATTAATACTTGGCGGTTCTCTGATCAAGCTGGAAGTCTTACATGAAACAATAATTGATACGTTGGCAAATAATTAAACAGGGTTTACTCGGTTTTCGTTGGGTAATAACGTTTATATTAAGACAATTATCGCTCGTTTACACGTTTTTATCTGCTTCGTCTTGTAATTATGCTGATGATGCAAAGAAGAGGAATGTTTCTATATCGATGTGCTGTCTAACGTGATGATAAATATGTATTAAATACTGATAATTGAGTGGTAATTAATGTAATAATGATTGATATCTATCCAAATAAATAAAAGATTATTGGTTTAATTAATCTTATGTCACACATATATTGTTAATACTTATTTAACATCACGAGTCGTTGATTTTTGTGATTTAATTGATATATAATTGTTAAAAAGAGTTGAAAAATCCATCGCTAATGCAATTTATGTCAATATATTTTGATTAAATTGAATTCTTTCTCAGTCCTTTCTTTGCAAAAATTTATAAATATAATTACAGGATAATTAATATCAAAGAATAAAGAATTTTAGCATTAGAGCTATAAATAAGTGTTTTTTATTTTGCTTTTTTTGTTAAATTCATTAAAAATTTAACAAAATTTTAGATTTAAATGTTGTTGTTTAGCAAGCAAAATTCAAATTAATGTTCTACTAAAATTATCAAGATTGTCATTCAATTTTTGTTGAGAGATTATTATCTCATAATTATCAGAAGATATATTCTTTTGATGGATGATCTAAATATTTCAAAGTGTTATTTGCATCCGCTACTTTTTTATTCTCTGAATATTATTACCAGCTACCGATTATAATGATAGGAGTGCCGTTACCTTGTTCCATTAAAAGGAGAAACTACCACATAACATCACCCATAACGCAACCTATAAAATTAAAATTAGGCATTCTCTTGTATAAAATATATTATTATGATAAAAATACCGTCAATCTACAGTTTGCCATGTTTCATATTATCGTGCACATCCCAATTTCCTGCGATATTTATCTACCGCGCATCAACACATACAGGGTATTTCAAAAGAAATACTCCCGATAAATATAAAAAATTTTAATTTTAGGGAAAAGTCGAAGAAAATATTCGTTACAGTTTCCAATATTTATAACTTCAAAATTATTCGCGCTATAATTATTTTTAGTTTAGGAAAAATTGAGAATGATCGTTAAGATCGTGAATCGTGGGACGCTCTGTATATGTTCAGCGTGTGGTGGGTCGAGTACCGACAACCGGAATTTCGCCGTTTAAAATCGGAGATCAATCTTCGTAAAATCTTAAACGCTTCGCGTGTGACGAGTGTCCCTGACTTTCGTTCGCGGATAATGACTACCTGCGGAAAAATTTAAGTTCGAAGCGCGGTAGTCTGTAAAGACCGGAGATAAATCACCCCTGGCATCGCGGATAATGATAGGTGGTGTAAGACGACCGCGCTCGGTGATATATTGTTGGCAACTCCTAAAGATAGCGCTTGAAAATTCTCGGTGAGTGATAATATACTGTACGCCGCCGATTGCGCATGCGATTTCCGATGCGATCTATCCGAGGATAGATGATTACGGTAACGTCGCTGAAAGGGCGATCGATCAGAGCGAAATTACGCGCTTCCGGTTATTGACGTCATCCGCTTCGTTCGCGGGCGCGCATCAACGTCGACCGGAAAAAAAGACGTTAATGAGAGAAAGAGAGAGTCAGATTTTACATTAGTACTTGTGTTTGCGAAGATCAAGAAAACAAAAACATTCGGCGGCCATCATCGTGGCAACACAATAATCTTTTAGAAACTTTATATGGTAATAATGATCCGTAATTGTATTGCGATTGTAATAATCAAACTTCTGTTTTTTAAAATTATGCGTTATTTAATGCACTATTCTCTGTAACTTTATCTCTATTAAATAATAGAGATTTATACATGCAGTATTTCTTGCAACATAATCCATTGTTATAATTTCATGGTAAGCTAAATATTATTTATATAACTTCGTTTATGCATGAGAGCATTTTATAGTATGAGTATTGCCGTAACTTTTGTTTGTCTTCACAATATTAATGCAAATAAAAATGACAGATCTCTTAGGCGCGAATAAATATA